AAAGCACAACTCCAGACCCACAACATTCAGTCCCCTGAACCTTGTAGAGGACAGGCACAAGCCACATTCTGTGACCTTCCAGACTTTAGGGTAACTGCGAGAAGAATATAGGAACAAAAGAACATCCTGTCTCTTGAATGTCAACCGGTCTGCATCAGGGAACTGGACTCCAAGGCCTGGCTCATTTGGGAGAAATCACCCCTTTGATTAATTTGGGCACTTTATATCCTATATTCTGTGTGTTACAGAGTAGTGGGCATCTGTCTTGGTAGACTGCATCTTTTCTCAGTGGCTTTTAAGATGTCTGTATCTCGTAGCAAAATGTAGATGTTTATACTAATGGCATCTCCAGGAACTAGGTCTTACTTAAGACTCTCTTCTATTACTCTCCATCCTGGGTGTTAAAAACTTCTTCACTTCCAGTTTCCCTTTGAGATGTGCGTTCCTGGCACTCCATTGCCATACTGAGTCTTAGCAGTTACGCAGTACAAGCAGGTATGACATAGTTCCCCTCCCACTTGGGACCAGGGTGCCCAGCATTCTTCATAGGTAACCCTCCAAGCAAAATCCATGCCTTCCATCATTACATCCTGTCTCCTCTTCCTCTCTGACCAATATCCCAAGACTTTTTTAGTCCTGCAGCCTAGTGACTACTATTGCCTATAATGCCAGGGTTCTTCTGTCAATTTGATCTTTTAGCCAAAAGCAGTCTCCCTCTTCTCATCATTCAGCTCCACTAGTGACTCAGTCCTCACCTGAAGCTTGCCATTCCTGCTTCCAGTGCTGTGTCCTTAGTGTCTCGGGTGCAGTCAGAACTAAGTTAAAGCACATGGAGAAGACCCATTCTGGGCACAGGGAGATCTGGGGGGTTGGCAAGGGTCTTGTTAAACTATGGTTTAAGTCTACATTCTTCATCATTCTCCAAGTCTAAGCAGTTTGTTACTAAGGCCCATTTCTATCCAAACTGTTCTGTTCTTAATTTGCATTCCTTAGAACTGACCTTCCTGAAGAAACTACTGAGTTCACCTCTAACCAAATGACTGGATTATAAATACATATGTCATTGCCATATTTTCCCTGTTTTCAGACTGTGAGCTGGCAAAATAGGAAGTTGGAAGTTTAAACACCAGCTGTCCTTCACCCTCATAAAACATCGCGAGTGGTAGCTTTTGTTTTATCTTGTTATAAAGGCTGCTTGCATATTTATAGCATTTTGTGGGTTAAAAAAAAGTTTTATTCTTAAAAATATTTTTGAAGTTTTAGATCCTAGATGGAATGAGGTTTATAATTTTACTAACCTCTTACGTTAGAATCTGAGCCGGTTCTGTTCGGCGGTTGTCCTGGGTTACCAAATCACCAGGAAAGCAGGCAAGTGTCTGTCACCTAAAATAGGCCGACTGAGACCTGCAGGAACACTCTCCCCGGGTCCAGAAACTAGGGCTTTTCTTGTTGGTGGCAAGTGTGCCTTTTCTTTCCCCCCAGGTGTCAAGTTACATCAAAGAGCAGACTCGGGAACAGGTTCAGATGATAATCATTTCCCTGAAAGAGGAGTTCTATTCCAAGGCCGATGCTCTGATTGGCATCTACCCAGAGGTAAAGCTGAGGGGAGGGGGTGGTAAGAACACCTTTCAGGTCCTGACGCACAACCATAGGCTCCTCATGGCGACTGTAGATAGTTTGATTTCTGTTGATAACTACAGGCTGAAATCATTTTTAATCAAATAAGGCTTAAAATGCTCAGATATTTTTTGGCAGTACAGAGATTTAAATATAAAAAGCAAATAGAAAACTGAAGGGCATTTCTTTGAAAATAATAGTACATATTAACTATGCAGAGTAACCTTAATATTGTAGTTCCTACTTCTGTAATATTTGGTTGTTTTAGGCAAAGACAAATGCATTGTGGTAGAACTAACAAGGAACCATTTACCTTCCCAAAGTACCAGAGGGGGGAAAAAATTAAAAAATTGACCAGAAGTTCCAGGTTGCATAGTAACTTGTAGAATTTGAATGCACCTTTCTTAAGCTGTTCAAAATACTCAAGCTAATGGAGTAGAGCACATAGTTCTGATCATTCCACATTTGAACAGCGAGGCTTTCCTTTCTGACTTTTCCTTTAAGCTAAGATAAAAAGCAGTTTCCCTCCCTGTGCCTATGGAATGTTAGGGGGCACTGGGAGCTCTCACCCCCTGTGGGAGAGGAAAACAGTCTCCTTCTTAGGGCCTTGGCTGGGCCTGTGCATCAGGAGGGCGAGACAGGTTCCCGAGAGAGAAACCAGCAGGGTTGGTGAACACGGCATTGTGCCTGAGTAGCCAAAGGGGTGGCTAGAGCTTGGGCCTCTCCACCACTGTAGGGTGTAATGAGCAAAAGGGACTTCCGGCTCCTGGGGAGGGTGGTGATGGGAAGGTGACCAGGAGGAGTGTGGGAAACAGGTCGGGTTTGCTCCGCAGATTCAAACGGGCGCCTCCTCCGTGGACAAGCTGGTAAGAGTAGGGAAGGCATCATCATGTAGCAAATGTACGTTTCCTTCACCAGAGGAAAGCTTGTACCCAGGTCTTCCAGCTTTTCCTCCATCTGCTGGTTCTCAGTAGCTCAAAACAGTCCACATGCCCAAGAACCATATTTTGGCATGGAATAGTCTAGTACTCTTTACCAGATAATACAAAAAATAAATCAGTAAAGCTGATGTAAATGCAGACAATTAATACCTCCTTAGGTGGCCGTAAGGAATGTCCTTTTTAAATGTAAATCCAGATTCACTATTGGCTCTTACTTTACATGTAACGACACCTTTTCCCAGGCAGAAGGACTAACTTCCAACTTTCTGCTCTCATTTCAGCACGATGACCACATGTTCAGCCGAGTACTGACCCTCGATCTTTCTCAGTATCCAGACACTGAAGGCCAAGAAAGCAGCAGGAGGCAGCAAGAGTCTCGTTAGGTCCAAAGTGCCCTTGAACCACTGCCGGCTCTCAGAGCAGATCAGGTAGTGGTCAGGGTCTTCACTGTTCAGTTCTCACTCTAACGTTCAAACCCAGGCTGGGTTGTTCAGTTGGCCACAGCATCGTTCCGTGCACCAAAAGACCGCCGGTTTGATCCCCGGTCAAGGCACATAACCTAGGTTGTAGGTTCAGTGCCCAGTCGGGGAGCATACAGGAGGCAGCTGATTGATGACGTCTCTCTCTCAAAAAATCAATAAAAATAAGTCCTTGGGGTGGGGATTTTAAAAAAAGTAAAAGCTTAACCGTTTCCAGCCAAAGAAGTGGTTGCTCATTTCCATTGAGGGGTGTCCGGGCCTCTTTCCCGTAGGTGGCTTCCTCTGAGAGTCAGCTTTGAGTCACTTGCAAAAACAGGGTACGTTTGTACCATAGTTTTCACTTCCATTTGGAAAGCCAGAAAAATTTTGAATTCCACATCGTCTTCACACTGGTTTGCCTTGTTCATTTCAATAATCTTTAAAGGACACTCTTGGTTTCTAAATATACTAGTTATAGGATGTTGAACCTGGGTTTTATGAGAAATAATTTCAGAGGAACTGATGTCAATATGAAAATATCAATTAAAAATATTCTAATTTCAAACGTCTCCAATCTAGTTTTATAAGCAAAAAAATTAAGGAAAAATTGAATTACGACTGCTCCAATATAATCTAAATTTTCCTAAACGCAGTTTGTTAGGAGGGACACGAACACAGGTGTTCCCAGCTGCCTTCTCCACTCAATTCACCGTGAACAGGTGGGAAGGAAAGCTGCGTGACTGTCCACAGTATTCGACTTCCATTTCAGAACGGACTGAAACACTCCAGGGCGCTGGCAGTCTTCTATGTAAGACTGCTGTGGGCCCGAGAGCTACCAACTGAGGAGTAGCCTCCTGAAGTCGTGGAATTGCTTCTGCTTCTGAACAGCACTCACTGACAACGCACTCTGTGCCCAAGCACTTAAGTCCCAAGCCTTGCTTCCTGCCCTGAGCAGCTCATCTCTGAACTGCAGAGAGCAGAGACCACTCCTTTGTCCTTGTTCCAGTACTGGCAATGCCATCTAAATCCCCAACCTCCTCTGCCTGGAAGATACCAGTCTAACATTGTAACGTCCCTTTAGTGCCACCTGAGCGCAGTGTCAACCCTCATCTTTCCCTGGGCTGCTCACATAACCTGGAGTCAGACTGTCAGTTCTAAAGCAGCATCCCCACCCCAGTCCTGAAGCCACCTTGCTATCGAAGACAGCCAAAACCACTGGGCAATGGGAAACACGGGGTTGGAACACCATGTTCCCCCTCAAAAGAGGAACCTAACAAAATGGTTGGTTTACACACATTAAATGGTTAAGAACTACACAAAATTGTAGTAAACATGGCACTTTATCTTGAAAGCACCCTGATGTCAGCCTATGATGAGCATCACCAGATTCAGTGGTGGAAGGGGAGAGTTGGGGAGCTGGCGGGGCTGGGGCTGGCGCAGGTGCACGCAGCTCTGTTCAGCTGCGTAGTTGTCTTTCAGGGCCCAAGAGTAAGCGGATCAGGCCTTGGTGAGACAGCAAAGAGCATATTACATAGTTGCTTGTGTAACTTTAAAATGTGACCTCATGTTTCTCATGGACAGCACTGTACATGCTCAATTGTTTCTCCTCTATCAGTCACGTCGGGATAAGTCTGCACTTTAAAACAAGTGTCACAGCAGAACTGTGGACAGATCCGCCCGTAACAGCAAGGCCTGCACCCCCGGCACGGCTCAGAGCAGGTCCTGAACGGACTCTGCGTGACTTTTCCAGGTTCGCATCTGTTTCATGTCATCTCTGTGCTTGTGACCTTGCCATACCCTGTGTCAGCCAACTCGCAGACTCACGGAACCATCCCTGATTGCACTTTGTGAGTCTTTAAAAAACAACTTATAACTGCTTTTTAAAAACCTGAAACACATTCAAGTAATCACCTGATTTCACAACTGAGTGACAACTCACGATAAAAAGTCTCATTAAATAAATTAAAGCAGGCTTTGTCATAACTGAGGAAAAGTTGAGCACAGAGTTAAAGTTTTATTTATGACCAGAGTAGCATAAAATTTTTCATGCTTCGAAAGGAAGACAAAGGTCTGACACTCCCTACACGTCCCCACCTCCTGTTTCCTGTTCTCCGTACCTGTGGGGGCCCCAGTGCCAGCAGTGGGAAGGGGCGTAGTGCTTGACAAGAAATGCCTTGTGAAAACAGCCTCTGAAACAGACACCAAGCAGGGCCTTTGCCGTTCACAGAGCAACTCCCTGCATGGGCCCTGCAGGCGGCAGCTGTCCCTGCCACCTGCCCTCGGGGCCCCAGAACACATCTAGTGTTGGCGTCTCTGGCGCTGCAGTCCCTCCCTTCACAAGGTCTGCCCGCCACCCTCTGTTAATCCATTTACGGGCCATGGGAGGGGCTGTCAGGAGATGTGCACAGAGAGGCCGGACTTTCCCCAGCCTGGGATAGACTTGGAAAGCTTGGAACTTACACTCTGGCTAAAAGTTAAAGCCTGGTCTGTGCTCCACTTGTAACTCCACAGTTACCAGCGGCAAAGCGGACATACACAGCTCAGAACCGCACTTCTGAAAGGTCCTCCTTCTGCTTCTCTGTGACTCCGCTTCTCCTGATAGTTACACCTGTCATTCTTTGGAACTGAAGTTACTAAAATTACGGAATTCCAAAGAAGCCCTATTGATCTAGTCACTCTTTTAAAAGTCATACGACTCACTGGGAGAGTCAATGCCTCGAATATTCTTTACTATAAAACAATATAACAAACACACCTGATAAGTTTTTTCTATAGTAATAGAGGTTTCTGCATAAAAATTGTAAAATTTAAGAGTCTAGTTTTTTATTTTCTCTTTGGCAACTACTGTGCTTGGACAGTCTTCACTCTCTCCCTTTTATTAGAAAAACCCACTTTGACAAAGAGGGCGTGTCAAGTGGGAGCCCAGAATACCAGGCACCTTCCTTCCTGCCGAATGGGCCCCTGAGGTAGCTGTCCACCAACCCTCACAAAGGTACCTGAAGTGTGTGCATTTCACCCCTCAGACAGTTAAACGCACCCGGGGGACTGTCACCCAGCCTCCTCAGGCCACATTGCCACAGGGCTCTCTCGGGGAGCGTGACGCTTTAGAAGTGAGGGTCCGTGTGGAGTTCTCTGAACATTCCTCATTGTTCGGGTGCGGCACTGTGGTCACAGAAGGCTGGTTTTCAAGTTGCAGGTTTTACTGGTTTTAAAGTTTTCAAGATGCTCCAGCATCATCTGTTTAAACAAAAAAAAAGGAACACCAATATATTAAGGTTCAGTTTCAAAAAGTATTTGCCATAGAATTTTTATTTTGGAAAATTTAAGTTTTCCTTTTGTGCCAAAGACTCAGAACACACCTCCACAATGGAAGTAGTAGCCATGGTCCAGAAATGACCACGGAGGGGTTAGTACCATCAGGGGACATTGTGTTTACAAAGACATGCAGAAATCAATCGTAAACATGGGTGCTCTCTCCCTTCTTGGGACACCGGGGGTAGGGGGCAGTTTCAGCACATGTAACGGAGCCTGTTCAAGTTCAAAAGACAAATGAAGCTCAGCCCACACAGATGGGAGCCCAACGTGGTCCCCTCAGCTCTCCAGCCTGTGGGAGTGGCCAGCAGCACCAAGAAGATGGACCTTGGCCTCTCTCACCCACACGCAGAACAGGACAAGCCTTCTGCAAGCAAGACCGAGCACTCTGTCTAAATAGGTGGCTGCTGGACAGGCACTGGCATCAGATGGGTCCGAGGATGGCGCTGCACGGCTTGCTCACTGCACAGCAAGTTCCGAGGCAGAAAGCCCTGCCGCCTGGTCCACACACTCCCTCTCCAAATCCCCACCGTGGGAGGAAAGCTGCGTGTCTGCAGCAGCGGTGGAAACGACCACCTGGGCCTGCCTTTCCAAACACCTGCTGGTGCTGAAGACCCCTTTGGAAAAGAACCACTCACCTGGAGGAAACGACTCAAAAGCACAGGTCTTATCTTTTTACTCAGTTACAGTCTCTGCCAGCTGAATTCACAATCCACATATTTGCTACAAGACTTAGAAGAATTTTATACAAAATGCTATCATTAGGAGTCTCCTAATGACTATACGCTGAAGTTTTACAAAACACACTGAATTTGTGCAGAATCGAGGTGAAAACCTGTGGGATCTGCGCAGTTGTAGCTCGGTCGTTTTCCCACAAGGTCCCTAGTACATGCTCCCCTCCACCCACCAAAGACAGCAAAAGACCCCAGCCTCACCCGTCTCCTGCAACAGTCCTAACTCAGGTCACCACTCACTCTACAAGCAGCTGTTTTAACAAGTGCTTTGTTTGTTGACTGTCTTTGATTACATGTTATCTGCATTCATTATGAATCTTTTTATATACAACAGACTATTTCGACAGTACATGATCCTTGTAGAAGAAACTGCATATCACAGTATGGCTCACATGTATCCACCAGGAAATTAGTTTACATGCTAAATGAACCACTAGCAGGGTAGGTAAATGCTTCATGGCTCCAAAAATTCTTGGATTACTATATAGGTGTTTAAGAGTGTTTTGCTGAGGTTTTCCTTTAAAGTAATAAAAAAAAAACCCAAAACTCTGGCCCAAGCTGGTGTGGCTTAGCGGATTGAGCGCCAGCCTGCGAGCCAGAGGGTCGTGGGTTTGATTCCCCAGTCTAGATAACATGGCTGGATTGCAGCCAGGTCCCCAGAAGTGGGGGGCAGAGGGTACATGCAAGGCAACCACATATTGGTGTTTCTCTCCCTCTCTTCCTCCCTTCTCTCTGGAAATAAATAAAACTTTTAAAAAATAAACTGTTATCTGAAAACCCTACATACCAATGTTTTCAGGAATGCAGTAGAGTCAGGTACCCAGAGAAGTCTCTGGTTTCTCTAGAGATTTAAAAGATATTAGTCATAAAATGACAGACTATGAGAAAGCACTCAGAAAACAAGAGCCCCTAGAAATTAACAATAACACTGTCAAAATAAAAGTTTAACCCAAAGGCTAGAATATAATTCTGAGAATCTCAGAAAGATTTTTAAAAAATAAAAATTAAAACATCAGAGAAACAGTAGACAGTGGAACTCAATCTAGGAGACCCCAACTAATGTGAAAAAAGGGGGGAGAAGATAGAAGGTATAATCGAGAAAACCATGGATTATTCCAGAACTGGAGAAATGAGGGGAAAAGGGAGTGAGGAATATAAAAGAATCCACCTAAATACACCTTAACAAAATTTCTAAACACCAAGGAAAAAGATCCTAAAAGCTTCCAGAAAGGAAAGCAAAGGAACGGTTGCCTACAAATCACTGAGAACTGAGCTGGAATCAGACTCTTTTCAATAGGAAACCTGGACACAAAACTGGACTCCAAGGGGACATTATGAACCAAGAACCTACACTCCAACCAGCCACAGGGCATGAGGACCAGGCAAAGAGGCTGCAGACACACCATCCCCGGGGCACCTGGCCTGCAGGGGCTCCCTGAAGAGCTCCCAGCAGAATGGACGGAAGGCAGAAGGAAGACCTGCCAGTGACCCAGGACAGGAGGGGGACCAGGGAAACCAGCAAACAGCAGGACAGACCAGAAGGTCAGAAGACATCTTGGGAGATGAGAGGCCCTGTGTCAGACAATGCATACATTAAAAAGTATTGTGAAGTGTAATTTTTGGACGAGAGGGGGAAAAGAAATCTAGAAACTCCTCAAAAAATACAAAGCACAGGGAACATGCAACAATCAAAAGAGGAACGTAATTAGTGGAATGTGAGGAAACACTTGACCTTGATATGAGAATATGTCCTGCCACTGGCACAGAAACTGGGCCACTGGGTCCATTAACACAGCACACAGCTGGCTAACTGGGGAAATATTCCCACTGGGTTTTTTTTTTAAGATTTTATTTACTTTTGAGGGGAAGCAAGGGAGAGAAACTAGCTGTCTCTCACATGTCCCCATTTGGACCTGGCCTGCAACCCAGGCATGTGCCCTCGCCAGGAATCTAACTGGCAGCCTGGTGACCCTTTGGTTCGCAGGCGAGCGCTCAGCCCACTGAGCCACACCAGCCCGGGCATTCCCATTGTTTTAGTAGGGTGAGTTTGTTCTCCAGCTTGGAGATGCAGCCTACAGCCAGACTGAGGGCCAATTTTCTTCAGCCCCGCGGCGATGGAGATCAACATGGGTGACTTAGGGAAGTGAGAGGAGGGAGGGGAGGGAGGAGGGTGGACCCTCACAGGCCAGCTTCACACTGGGAAGCAAGAATAAGCACGTCACTTAAAGGACAAGGACTGACCCACTGCAGGAGGCGAGGGAGGGGATAGGACATGAGGGAAACTGCCTTCCTGGAGCCAACAGAGTTTGTCTACTGAAAGAGAGTTTAGGTCACTCTCCGCTCATAGAGGCAACAGAAAACAAACGATTTAGAATGGTCTTCTGTGGGGACTGAGGTGTCCCAAGTCAGGACAGTGGGCACCCCTGGGTGATGGGGAAGCGACTGAAAAGCTGCGGGGCTTCCCGACAACGTCTGTGTCTGGAAAGGGACGCGATGACATCGATGTGTTCCCGCTGTGAAAACTTGCTGGCTGGCCTCACAATCCGTGCACTCGCCCTGTATTTTTTTCAGTGATGCATTAACACAAATGAACAGAACTGTTTTAGGAGCAGGTCCCTCGGGTGGTTTGAATAGCCTGTGTCATGCCTCACTCCTTCCAGGGACAAGGACAGTAAACAAGGCTGTGGCCGCAAAGCCCACAAGCTAATCAGGCAAACGTGCAGAAGCTCCCCACACAGAACTCAAAACACCTGGTACCTGACTGTCGGCGTTGTTTTGAGACTTCAGTTCCGTTCTCTTCTAACTTCCTCTTTGCACAGCCCTGGCATGCTCTCCCTGAAAAATGAAGACACTCATTAAAAAGCTTCTCATCCAGGCCCTGGCTGGGTAGCTCAGTTGGTTGGTTACAGCATCATCCCAATAGGCCAAGGTTGCAGGTTCAATCCCCAGTCAGGGCCCATACAAGAAGCAACCAGTGAATACATAAATATGTGGAACAACAAATCGATGCCTCTCTCTCTCTAAAATCAATCATCAGTAAATCGAAAGTTTCCCTTGCAGAACCCACCGTCCACAGAGCAGTGTACTGGCCTGGTTTACTCCAGATGACGTCTATCGAGATAACGCTCTTTCAGAAGAGGAGGGTGCTGAGGGTCATGCTGATGGGACAGCACAACCACAATGTGCCCTTTCACAGGGAAGCAGGCGGACGCGGAAAGCTGAGTACAAATGTCGTCATTCCTGAGCTGATGCCCCCCACACTCACGAGTTTCATAGTTGGGTCACTGAGCCCCGCGGGGCCCCCGCTCCACAGCCAGGGCCCTCCTGACCAACAGACCGACCGGCGTGGGGAAGGCCATTGTCAGGCTCACCCAGGGAGGATGCTGGTAGTCAGCGAGCTCGGCCAGACCTCGTTAACTCAAACAGGCGGAGCTGAGCCCAGCAGAGAAGCAATTACACTTCAAACGCGTATGAACTAGAAACTGTATATGAAAGCTTGAGAGCCTCTGCGATGAGAGTTTCAGAAAGGGGCGGGTCAGGCACCACGTGCCAGGCTGAACGCGCTCACAAAGCAGAAGCTTGTCCTGACTCCCCTGGGTTCTTGGTTGGGGGACAGGGATTATTCGCAGGCCCGTTTGACAAACTGTGCTCCCTCGTAGAAGGAGGCACTTCCCCCCCTTCCCCGTGGCAGGGACCGTCCCGTCTGTGGCACAAGTGTGTTAGCACAGGCTGAGTATTTACTTTTTTAATATACTTTTATTAATTTTGAGAGAGAGAGGAAGGGAGAGAGAACATTGACTAAGGGAGAAATGCCAAACATTTGCGCCCCAAACAAAGACTGAACCTGCACCCTAGGCATGTTCCCTGACCGGGAACCGAACCTCCAACCTTTTGGTGGACGGACACCAACCCAGCCACCCAGCCTGGGCACAGGCTAAGTATTTAACTTGCAGACATTTTTATGATTTCAGTAACAGCAGGAAGACAATAGAATGTGTAGGCAAACACCAAGCTGATAGAATTCAAGATCTGCCTTACCCAACGATGTGGTGCTGTCCACCGGGTCAGCGTCTGGGGAGAAAGGAAATCGATCAGCGGCCGCAGCGGCCTCACCTCCATGTGCCCGCCCGCCCGGCCGGCCGGCGCGGAGGGGCTGCAGGCTGGTTACTGCCCTCTTCTCCTCCCAGGGGCCATGTGGGAAGCACCTGAGGTGGCCGGGCACACAGGGAGCTTGGCATGGCACCCGCTGTCGCTTATTTCCGTCACCACCTGTGTGCCACCTTCTCCACCGGGACTGGCACCTCACGCATGCAGGTGCACGTCCCTACGACACGCAGGTTCACGAGGTCTGGAAAGGAGGCGTCGAGGGGGACAGAAAGACACGCGGCGGCACGCCCCAGGGGCCTGGGCTCACGCGGGCCCTGGTGCCCCGGATGCTTGTGCGTGTGGAGGTGAGAGGTGGCAATTAGGGGCAGAGGTGACGAGAACACTGTCCCTCTCCAGAGCCATCACACAGGCCTGTTCCAGGACACCCGAACCAGGACGGTTCGCCCTGCTCTATCCACAGTCCCATCCCAGCTTCAAATATCCTGGCACCAGCCGGGCTAGTCATTCGCCTCTGGGCTCGTCTGTCTACCGGTCAGCCCTTGGCCGCAGTGGGTACCGTGACTGGACACGAAAGTAGGTCACGGATGTAACACTCACAGGCGTGTGACAGAACACAGCTCCCTTCTCCTCTCTTACCAAGAAGCCGACTACGGCCCTTGTCACACTTTCACTAATGGAAATGCCGCTTACATGGGCCCACTTTACTCATTATTTATGGAAAGGGTTGATGGAGAAAAATCTAGGTGCTGGGTCATCTGTGTATCTGTCACCCACGATCTCAGTGTCTCCAGTCTTCACGGTCATGGCCAGTCAGGTCCAGCTGTCTGTCTGTCCCCGTGCCGAATCCAATGCCCTGCGTCGTGAGCATCCCGTGACCATTCAGTGGCACGGGCTTCTCCACACTCTCCGTCGTCCATGACTTACGGCTGCAACTCGAAGCTGCCAGTTGCCCGCATGTCGACCCGGCCAATTTAAGAGTGACCCAGTGATCCGGTTTGCTCCTGACAGGTGAAGCACACCTGACAAAGGGCCAAGGAGTGTCACTCAGACGGCCGGCTGCACGTGGCTGACCTCGGAACAGGCGTGTGATGTAAAAGAAGTCTCCCTGCAGCCCGGGACAGGGTAAAGGTGTGACACACATGCAGGACTCAGGCTTCCGGTCTCAGTCGGCCCGCCCGCAGCGTGCGGGGCGCCTGGCACAGCCGCGTGCAGCTCCACGCAGGCGTCGCCTTCAGCTCACGGACCCGCTGTCACGGCGGCCTTCCGTTCTAAAGTGCACAGAGGCACTTTCAGAACATAACTAAAGGACCGGTGGATTTCACGGTTAAGTACACTGAGACCTCACTTTTATTTTGTGGTATGTAAATTATATCTCAAAAAGGGGGGGAGGCGCTGGAAGGACCCTCCGGGGTTTGTGCGTGGCAGAGCGCACAGGCTCCCGTACCTGGACTCCGCTGCTTGCAGATCTGCGAGGCCAGGTCCTGCACGTACCCCGGGAAGTGCTCGAAGCTGGCGCCGTAGGACACGACCTTGATCCCGTGCAGCAGCATGTCGGCCTGGTGCTTGAAGAACTGGTCCTCGCCCTCCTTGAGCACCACCATGTAGTGCTCCAGGTCCACCTTGTTCGGCACCGAGTACAGGAAGAGCGCCTGGAATATCTGGTCCCGGAGGGTCTCCCCGCAGCCCACGAACAGGAAGGACTTGGTGCGGTACAAGTTCTGGAGCGCCTCCTGGGACACCAACCGAGAAACCGGCTGCTCGTCTGACGGACAGCAGGTCCGGCAGGCCCGCGAGCCACAGGACCGTGCTTCCGAGTCACCACCGCCCCCAACGGCCTTTCCCGGAGCCACACTGACCAACAGTCAGAGAGGCAGAGCCTCTTCCTCTCTGGCCAGGCCCAAGTGGGTGTCCAGGGCACGTGTACCCACAGTGGGGAAAGCCTGGCCCGCCCCACCCACCGGGCCTGAGCTGAGTGCACTCACTCCGACCTATCACGTGTGACTCTAAAACACTCAATGAAGGACACTAAATGTCTCGGTCCATGACTGCCCGGGCCACGCCATGAATCAACTGTCTCAGAGGACCATGGGTAGGAACCTTTGGAGGGTGGGGACTGGTGTCAGGAGGACAGGGTTTGGGGAGTGAGGACAGCAGAGCTGAGGCAGGTCCAGTGACAGCGACCCAGGGGAGTGGGCACAGGCGGGGTTCAGGCCTGCAGTGGAGACCCACCGGTTCGGACACCCCACATCTCAGAGGGGATCAGCTCATGTGTCTCTTGACCCAGGACACATCGCTGAAGCACCGAGGAGCCTCGGCTCCCCAACCATGCGCCACACCTGGCCACGTCCCACAGGTGGCCCAGGGCCGAGGGGCCAGCGCCAGCCCTGGGCTCGCAGGGACTCGGCGAAGACCCTGTGGCTTCTCAGCACCAAAAAGTGGGGAAGCAGGTCTACTTTGTCTCTGGTATCAAGGAAACCTCCCAGGCAGTGGAATTTAATACTAGGATCTGAAAGCCAGAGAGAACGCCAAGAAGAGGAGACAGTGCAGACAGCAGGACGCGTGAATGAACAGAGATGACAAGGAGGGAGGGGTGGCCTGTGGGCCTGCTCGTCACCCTGAAGAAACATAGCTGTCCCTGTGCAGCTGAGTCACGAATGACCAGTGGCAAGGTGAGTCAGACGGGACTGAGGCCGCGAATGACATGAGCACCGGCCAGCAGCCGTGTGAGCTCCAAGGGCAGCCTGGGGGTCGGGGAACCACTCAGACCACTGCTCCGGAGTCCCCAGGGTACAGGCAACGCCAGACCGGGTGGCCGTACCATCACTTCTTGGTCTTGAGTGACATCCTTATATCCCGAGGGGTCCAACACCATCCCACAGGGGTCCGTGTACAAGCCGTGGATGTGGAGAACTCCGTATTTCACATGGCCTCTTGCCCACTGAAGGACCTGTCAAAAGTCAAGCCCAGAAAAAGGAAACCTGTTATTGAAAACAGATGTAAGAGGAAACATCTGAATTGGATGCATGGTTTTTCAGAGCTACCTTGGAAAGAGTAAGAGAGAAGCTTGCACTAATAATTACACCTTTGAAATCTAAGAGTAACTCCGCTGTCAGCACTACTCACCCCCGTCACATCGCATCGGAAAGAACCGTGACAGCCGGGAATGCGGAAAATACCCCGACACCTGGGGCTCAGCTGGCCGGTGAGACTGGCCACTTTGGGGGAGTCGAGAGGACTTCCCCATCAGAAGTCACCTGCCGTATTTCAGTAACCGCTCTGTATACAGCGGTTAACACCCGGAAAAATGTATGAGAGAAGTAACGTATCGATTTACCTACACTGATGTCCACTCAAGATCCAGAACAAAGGTCCTTACAAAGACACACAGGGTGGATGTCCCTTTTCACACTGAGGCTTTCACTTCAGCAGGCAGTGCTGACACACCAGGCAGACAGACAGACAGACAGACACCAACAGCTCCAACACAGAACCAGCAGCCGAGCAGCTGGAATTCTACCACACGCCACTTGCATTTATTTCCAGAGACACCACCTGCGACAGTGAGGAAGCCTCCCAGGTGGGCCGGCCGCTCGGGCATGTGAGCAGGTGTCCTGTTCAGAGGTGCAGCTACACCAAGGGGCCTGCTTGGCAGCCCCAGCACCACCCTGCCAGGACAGCCTGTGCCCAGGGCGTGTGCCTGCAGCCACCTAGCACACGTTCCCGGCCAAGCTCTGAGAAAGGGGGCCGAGGGGAGCTCTTGGGGTACCCCCCGTCTGATGGGGGCCCGGGTGAGCCGTGCTCAGGACAGCTGCCAGCCAGCAGAGCCGGGCTGAGGCCTCGCCTCAGGGGGGAGCCAGACGGCCGAGTAGCAGCGTCCGGGAGTAGTGACAATGCACAACCTGGAAGCACAAGCACAAAACGCGCAGAGACGCAACGAAGGAATATAGTCACGTCCAACCTTGCTGGTAAAAAAATAAAAATGCAAAACGTCCCCCTCTCCTCCAGGTGAAATGCATTTCTTCTGTCTTTTAGTGACACCACATGTGGACAAGACGCAGGAGGTGGACCAGGTGACCCGACACGCTGCGAGTCTGGTCCCAGAGCATCGTACTGAACAAGTCTCATCCTTCTGCTGACGAAAGTCCTGCCTTCAACTGGTACAAAACGCACACCTGTGAAGCGCAAGGAAAGCGAGGTCTGCCTGCGCTCCACACCCAGCAGGTGGGACTATGGACCTTTCTGGAAAACAACTGGTGATGCATATCATCTGTCTTTAAAAGTCATACCCTTGGACCCTAAACCTCTTCTAGGAACTTATGCTAAAGGAATAAACAGAGAGACACAGAAGTGTAAGGATTTTCAATGCTGAGTGACCTGTTTATAAGAATGAAGGCTGACTAATAGGAGAGGCCTCCCTGTGACGACCACCATGAGCAAACGCAGACCGGACAGCCCTGCAGATCCACAGGGCAGAACACAAAGGACAAGAGCAGGCAGTTCCAAGTGTCCAGGCAAGCGAGGGCGTTACCCCTGCCCTGGAGCTGCCCGCGGAGGGGCCGGCACAAGCTCAAGACCAAGTTAGGGTCGTGTTTCACTGGACAGGAGCGTGGAGAGCTGACGGCACCTTTCACTGTGACCGACCCCCGCCACCCACTGCAGAGACGCACACCTGCCCCACACCCACGGCGCCTTTCCCCCGGCCCGAGGGCCCCCCCAGCCCAGACCTTGGTCTTGTCCTTCAAATCCAAGGACTCCATGGGCTTGTTCTGCTGCTGCCCGAAGATCTCCAGCAGGTTGTCGTAGTTGGTGGTCAGCACCATGGTGCCCCTCTCCATCAGGCTGAGCACGGACTGCAGCACCAGCGGGTTCTGGATGTGCTGCTCCAGGTCGTCGAAAACCTCCATCAGGCAGTCTTGGAAGAAGTTGGGCTTCGTGTCGCCCGTCCGCTGCGGGAAGGTGGGCCGGGAGTTAGCAAAAGACGTCCTCTCCCAGCCACGTGAGCACCTGCCCAGGCGACACTCTGGGTGCTGGGGATGGCGGGGGGCGGCCAACCCCGCAGTATACTAAGCTCTAGAAGAGGGAGGCGTTAGTGATACGTCAAGGGTGCTAAATGGTTTGGGGAAAGAGAAGGAGAGAAAGGGGGACAGGTATGGCCAGGGCACAGGGGGGCTGGGACACAGGCACGGGGAGGGGCCTCTGCAGAGAGAACGCCCTGCGGCGGGAAGGACAGGCACCGGGGCACCGCGGGAGAGCGCAGGTGGGAACGCAGCGCAGCAGAGTGAGGGCTGTGTCAGCAGGCGAGGTCGGAGAGGCGACCCGGACCCACGTGCTGTGGGGCCTTGAAGACCAAGGCAGAGGCTTCCCTCTGAGAGCAGCTAACTACTCGTCTTCCCCTCGGTGGGGCCTAGGAAGTGCTGTGTCTTTACGGCATCTCGAATTAGTGGCAGACAGCGTGGCACGCGCCTCTGAGACAGTCCACAGGAGGAGGACAAGGTGTGGCCTCGGCAACCTGCTCCAGTGGCTGGAGTCAGGCTGGGGCGGACTTGTGAGGAGGAGGAAACACGGCGAGCCCTTCTGAAGCGCTCTCCCGTGAGGGGCCGGACAAGTGGGCACAGCAGCTGGGAGGACGCACCCCCATGAGGCCGCCCCTCGCCCAGCCACCAGGACGGGCGAGGCAGCAGACCGTGCGTCCGTGCGGCGCGCCTGTGCCCGCCCTGCCTCACCATCACCATCTGCCTGAGCGTCTGCATCGACCCCTGTCCCTGCTGATGTCGGCCGTCACGAGACTCCCAGATTATCGCTGGTGCCATAATCCTTTGGCTCTGGCCACTTCCTTTTCTGACACCCTCCCCAATCTTGAAAACCCTTCCAATGTTCCCAGCGGGTGTCGTGGGTAAACCTCCACATCTCCATCCTCACCTCTGTCCCCAACAGAAAACTGCCCCCCAGGGCCCCAGACCAGCGCCCTGGTCTGGGGGCCTGGGGGGTGGGATGGCCCTGATCATTGTTAAGGTTGTCTGGCTGTCCTTCTGTCGCAGTCTGTGCTGACCTCAGGTCCACTTAGGGGACCATTCCTGCACAATGGCCTCCACACCCCTCCATCCCTCTCCTCCAATAAGCTGGTCCCAGCCTGGCCATCACGCCACAGCCACACCCGGGACCTCACCACCATCAGGAGCCTCTCCGGAATTGCCGGTGCAGCCTGTCTCCCATCTGCCCGACTTGAGCACCTGCAGGCTCCCAGGACACCGGCCACCCGGTTGCAACCTGCAGGCCGTGACCCCGCTATGGCTGACCTTGGCACTCATGCCCTCGCTGGCAGCCATCTCCTGTGAGCAGCTTAGAAGACGCCCCCACAGGGCCGACCCCCTTAGGCTGGTAAGCTCCAGCCTGCCCCACCTCCCCGACTTTGCTGGAATTCATCCCCAGAGGCACCCCAACCTGAGAGCCCAGCTCCGCACGCACTGACCCCTCACCTGGTCCTGACCTGCTGAACACAGGTGGGGAAAACACAACCCTTCTGACTGGCTACGCTTTACCTCTTTTTTTATGGAAGTTTTAAAAAATATGCAAAACTAAGGAGAAAAGCAGAATAAAGCTCCTAATACACATCTCCTGGATTAAACGAGCGGCAACCCACCTGGCCTTTCTCCAAAGGAAGGCCCTCCTCGGAACGGCCCCAGGTCTGCCCCGCAGCCCTGTGACACCGCTCTGTCTCCTGACGCCTCCCCGCTCTCCCCGCTCTCCCAGGACAGGGCCCCACACTCCGGTCCTCCATGGAGAGGACCCGTTCTCAGCTTTGCGGGCCGGCCTCCATTGCCACTGCCCCGCTCTGCGCCACAGCGTGCAAACCATGGGTGTGGCCACGCCCCACGGAGCTTCCTGCACAGAACAGGCTACAGGCGGGTCGGGCCCGCCTGTCCATCAGTGATGCTAGCTGCCCCCATCGATCAAACACCCAGTTTGGCCATCACCCAGCTGGAAACACTTCCCAGACTCTGGCACAGCTGGGCCTGACCACATGCGGCCACCACGATGAAAACAGAAGGGGTCCGTGTGACTTCCACGGCAGGCCCTTCCCACCCACTGGGGTCAGTCCCTGCCGGCGCGGGGCTCTGGCCCGGAGCACGGGCTGGGAGGTGCAGTCAGCACAGCAGGTGGACAGCAGCGGGTTCCCAGACAGTCAGGCTGCCACTCTCTCCCAGGGCCGTGGGTGTCTCTGTACAGGAGGGGTCTCTCGCCCCTCCTGACTCCTGGTCCATGCTCGCTCCTGTGCCAGCCCTCCAACACCTGCTCCCCACCCCACTCCTTGGGTGGGATGTGCTGCTTCAGTGAAGACAGGTGTGGCGAGAAGCGGCCCTGTGCCCACCACAGGGTCTGGGGCCCCACGCCTGCCCCGGCGCTGCGGCTCCCTGCGCAGTGACGGCCTGGCTGCACACCCGAGTGGGACTGACCCCACTCCGCGCCGGCCGCCAACTCGAGGGCCTCGCTGGGCACTGGTCTCTCTCAGCACCAAGTGCTTCTCCCCCACTAGGGGGCCCCCAGCAGACAACGGGGCTACGACTTCTCCATCTCCCAGGGCTTCTGGGAAGCACCTGTCACTGGAAGACACGTGGCTGCCGGCCTAGACCCGAAACTTACTTTCCAGACACCCCGTCACCACACACGCAGTAGACAATCCTAAGCTCATCCCCAAAGCAGCCGGCCGCCATCCTGGACACAGCCTCACACAGCCCGGCTCCAGGGACCCGGGGCGGTTATCTGGGAAGCTCACACTCAGCCCCGAGGCCTAAGGAGATGGCATTCTGAAGGCCCTAACGGTTCCCAGCTCATCAGCTGACTCCGCCGAGAAAAGACGTGCGTAGGCTCGTTGGAAAGTGAATGCCAGAGTGACGGGTTCACCAGCCTGGCGCAGAGCCGGGCACCCCCGGGCACCCAGAAGTGCTTGTCTGCCAAAGACTCACAGGTGACATCTTCCGGATCAGATCATGGGCCACAACCAGCAGGTCCCGGTCCTTCATCACTTTCCTGCGGAAGCGAGCCACGTCCCCAGGGTGCAGCACCTCCAGCTGCTCCGCCGCCTCCAGGACGGCCTCCAGGCAACTCCTCCAGGAGCGCAGGGCGGGGATGCCCGGGGCCACTGCCGCGCTGACACCCGTCCCCATCACCAGGAGCAGTTCCTGCGGCTGTTTCTGGATGAGGCTTTTTAAAAACTTTCTGCTTAAAAAGAAGGGACAGAGAGAGTGAAAGTCAACATGGAAATACCGAGACCCCGAAGAACGGCAATGCCGTCAGGAAGGCCTGTGCCGCGTCAGGTCGGGTGCGGCCTGACCCAGACACGCCAACGCTTCCTCCGAGAGGAAGCGTCATTCCCTTTGCTCTATTTCACCCGGTCTGGCCTCGCTCACCTGGGCCCCCCTCCCTCACCGGGGGTTAAGCGCACTGTAAACGATGTTTATCACTGAACAGAAAGCCCAGCCACTCTAGTGTTTTGAAGCTGCAAAGAGCTTATAAACAACTGCGATAACAGAACGGTCCCCGCCTCCCGTGACAGATGACCCTGCCTTCTGTGACAGGTGAAAGTCCCGGCAGGAGGCTGGTTTTCTGCCCCTTACCAGTCACAGCCCGTTCCGGGGAAAGGGCCTCCTGCTCTCCACCACTTGACGGCGGCAGACCCAGCAAAGCCCGGCACCCTGGCCTGCACGGGCCCCCCCCGATCCCTGTTGCTTGCTGAGACCTGGCTAAGGTCCCTTCCCTGGGCAAGACAACTGGCTTCTGGAATGTTCTGATGCTGGAGCAAAGGTGAGCACACAGCCCGAGACCCCGTCCTGACCAGGGTTCTCCCCTGGCTCCCGCCTTACAGGTGCCGAGCGGCAGGAGACGGTATGGATGTTACACACTGCACGGAGGCGGGAGCGCTTATTTACCTTGATTTTTGTTCACTTCTATTTGTCATCTTCTCCAGTGAATCCATCTGTGAACCTAAGGAGAAAAGTCAGTCAGAAGCGGCTTCTATTTCCCAGGTAAAAGTTCTCTCATCAGCCCCCTGGAAGAGAGTTAAGGCTGGAATTGAAATCAAAGGTCCGGGATGTCGCCTTAAACTGGGACACCTGGAAAACACCAGCACAAAAACCAGACACCCATGTCTCCTCACACTGCCAGGCCAGGAGGGGCTCGGACCCAGACTCTGCCCTCGGCACAGGACAGGAAACCAGGGGAAGCCGGTGCCAGTCCAGGCGCCCTGTTCTCACGACGCCCCTTTCCAACCCTGTCCCGGAAGAGCGTCCAGCTGGCGCCAACACGAGCCCCTCCCCGCGGAGGAAGAGGCAGAGCCGTTCCTCAGGGAGGGTGTGTGTTCCCTGGGGTGCTGACCACTGCCCCGCAGGTGTCTGGGGACACTTCTCAGCAAGTCTTCCCAGGCGCCAGGCCCCCTGTGGCCGGTGCGAAACCCAGCCCGGAAAAACTACGGAAGCCCAAGGTCAGCTCCTCACGCACACAGAACAAGCACTGAACCCGGCTGGTCTCACGGCCAAACCGCCTCCACGCCGTCCCCGCGCCAGAACCACTGACTGGAAACAGGAAACTGTACAGGGAAAATGCAATCTGCAATGTCACAGTCCTGCCACCAATGAGCGACAGCTGCCGTTACCATCTATGATTTTCCCTCCACATTTTACTTGGAACTTTGCGATCACTGGAGAGCGGAGTTCACACCCCACTTTCCCCACCCGTCAGAGTGACAGCGTCTCCCGCGTGTTAGGAAAACCACGCGGAAATGCGGGTGTGACGGCTCCTTGCCCAGACCCGTCTCACCAGAACGCCACTCACCTGCGCCCGCGCCCCCAGCGCAGGACATGGCCGTAGCCATCTGACAACCGTCTCTGGGCCACAGTTTTTGTATCTTTTGAAACCCTCTACTCAGGAGAGGCTTCCGAGAAGCAGAGCTGCTGGGTCAGAGAAGGTGAGGGTTGTCGCGCATTTCTGCGCGCGACAGGTGGCCAGCAGACCAGGTGAGCGCCACTTTGCTGCACCTGCGCTGCTTGAAAACCGCCTTTTCTCAGATGTGCGATCTTTTTCCCCCCGACACGGCTGTCCCCGGGCAGGTGGCTTCTGTGAGCTGCGTTCGTATCACCGGGAACTGCGGTTTCCTCACACCGCAGGCCGTCCTGGAGGCCGCGGAAGTAGAATAAGGTCACCTGAAATAATTTCCCAGGGCGAGAAAACACGGCTTAATCGGCATCTAAGCATCGTTACACTTCACAGCAAATGGGACCTTAAGACTGTCCCCGGGAACATTTACACTTTGTACACCGGACGCCACCCCAGGGCAGAGGGCGCGGGGCTTCCCTCGCGCCCGCAGGTGTCTGCGACCTCCCCCCCAGGTGTGAAGAAACCGCAGTTCCCAGGCGATACGAACGCAGCTCCCAGAAGCCACCTGCCCAGGGGACAGTCAGGGCTGGTGCTGCCCTCGCCCACCCGGCCTCCCTCCAGGGAGTGACCGTCACGGCCGCCAAAGGTCAGACCGTTCCGCTGCGGCTGTGATTCCCCCCCCGGGGGTGTTTTCTGAGGAAAGTGACGCTGCAGTTCCCACCGGATGAGCGGCCCTGGCCCAGCCCTGAGCTCCACCGACGCACCTAACTCTTCGCCAACCCTGTATAACAAGGAGTGAAACGGGGACTCTCGCTAACGGACCCAGTGTCGGCGGCTGGGGACCGAGGGCAGCGCTCTGGGAACTTGAGCTGCCAAGGCCGAGTTGGGCTGCGGCCTGCGGCTGAGTCCGCCCTCCACACGCTTCCTGTCTGAACCTCCCGAGCAGAGCAGGACTCAAAGGATCACTCCCACTCACCCTCTCTGTGTAAAGATTATTTATTTATTTAGAGGGGAAGGGAGGGAGAGAAACATCAATGTGTGGTGGCCTCTCAAGTAGACCCCACTGGGGCCTGGCCTGCAACCCAGACACGTGCCCTGACTGGGAATCGAACCGGCGACCCTTTGGTTCGCAGCCTGTGCTCAGTCCACTGAGCCACACCAGCCAGGGCCCTCTTTCTTTAACTAAATGGTTGGGGTGACCCTGGTTTATTACACATGCACATTTCCGGTGTGTAGCTCTGTACATGACACCTGCTTACTCCACCGTGTGCTTGATTTGAAGAGTTAATGTGAGGTGCTGACCCACGCACTAACCCCGCCGCCCTCATCTCTGCCCCCCAAATAATTCACGTCACTTTGACGTTGTCGCCCCTCCCCACCCGGGAGAAGTGGCCTTTCTCAGCCTTCTCTACACAACTGCGTTTCAGAACCTTTCTAAACAGCCACTGGTCACCCGAAGACTGAGTAACTGCCCCAAACTGCGTCCGTGGTGCCGACCTCAAAGGCCCAGCTCGAGCCCTTCCATTGCAGTGTAACTGCTCCTGACTCTTCACATATGTGTGGTTATAGTGACCGGTTGGAAAATCTAATGCTGCATTTACACATCTGCAAAAAAGTACAAACAATTCCATCTTCCTGGGCTGGACTTAACTCCATGCTAAGTAATTTCCAGGGTCCCCAGAAGAACAAGTCATCACCCTGACCTAACCTGACTGAGCACTCCCACGGCAGGTGGGCACCCACTCCCCTGCTCCCTGGCTCCGGTCACAGCAGCTCCACCCTCATCAACTTTAACTCTGCCATCTGCCCTGAAAGGTCCAAGTCGCCGATGTGGAAGCACCCAATCAGCTGAGAATTCAACATAGCGACTCAGGACGCTCAGCACTGTGGCTGGTACGGAGTCCCCCTTGGCGCACAGTCAAAGACAGCACCTCAAATCCTGTTCCCTCAGCAGTGCAAGCACCTAGAAAGCACTCCAAATCTCCCCTTGATTTTAAACCAAGGGCCACTTGGGAAATACCCAAAGCAATGTGTACCGGATCCCAGAAGTTTCAAACAGACAGCAAGCAGGGTTCTGCTCCCTCCCCCAACACCACTCTTCCAGGGCAATCCCACCCCAGAGGATACTAACACACGCCTCCAAGAGCTTTAGGAAGCTGCAACTTCTGGTTTCCCCGGTGACGAAGTCGTCAGCCCCTGAAGCCTGCAGCCCGTGAGCCAAGCCTTCACAGCAACCCATTTTTTCCAGGACCTAACGGCGTCTTCTGAAAGCAAAATCAGGCCCAACACAGATTTGTACGAGCAATTTTCCTGTCCTTGTTATCGAAAGCCATGAAAAGAACTCCTAACAGGATGTTTTCTGCTTAAAATCTGAGACCCGGAGTGTTTTATGCACCAGCTCCAGGGCAGCCAGAGACCGCCTTGTTCCCTGAACCCCCAGCTTCTGGCACTAAATAAACACTCATCAAACCGACCCGATGCAACAGAGAATGAACCACAAGCACCAAGCTTGTCACCTGCAGCTGTCCAAACGACCCCCTCCCTCCCTAACCCCACTGTGCTGGGCAGTGCACGGCCACCCCGCCCACCCCTGGGCCACTAAGTAACCATGCCCTGGCCCAGTCCCTCACCCGCTGGCTCTGGGCTTGCTCAGGTGACTTTTTTGGCCAATGAATCTCAACAAGCAAGCAAGAGCTCAGTAAGCACTTAGACACTGGAGCCTGCCCTCTCTTGGAACTGTGTCTTAGAAAGCCCCGTCCAGCCTCCTGGGAGGGCGAGCGGGGCCAAGGCACCGGAGCTGAGAAGCCAGCGCCACCCACCCAACCTGTGACGGGCTACCTGGGGCTATCCAGTGCCGGTCAAGCAGGCAGACAGCCCCAGTGGCACGAGCGGCCCCAAGGCCAGCAGAGACCTGGGGAACCCGGCCAAGACCCTGACCCCAGGACTGATGGGTGTTTGGAATGCTCTCGACCACCACCCTCTACACAGGCATGAGGGTGAGAGGACGGGAACGGGGGAAGACGAACGTGCCAAGAAACAGAAAGGAAATGAGCCAGTGAGTGAAAGAGTTCCCGGAGGTCTGAGGAAGAGGGGAGAACAATGTCAAAACAGAATCACTGCCCTGGCCGGGCGGCTCAGCTAGTTGGAGTGTCACCCCTGAACCAAAAGGCTGTGGGTTCGATTCTCAGTCAGGGAACATGCCTAGGCTGTGGGTTTGGTTCCCAGTTCAGGTGCGTATCAAAGGCAACAGATCGATGTTTCTCTTTCATTTCGATGTTTTGCTCCCTGTTTCTCCCTCTCCTCTGAAAGTAAAAAAATCTTTTTTAAAAAAGAACAGTAATTATTAACTCAGCATAACAAAAACCTAAAACTACTTTCATTACAAACCACACTTTCACTTCACGCACACAAATCAAAAAGTTTCAAGTCTGTGGGATCCTCAAAAATATCCTTAGGAAAGCCCCTTCCTCCCTTTCCGCAAACGAACGGGCGTGCGGGTTCCTGGGCCAGAGCAGGGAGACCCCACCCGGGCTCAGCGAAGAGGCAGTGCAGACACAGGTGAGTCCGCGCCTCCTGCACAGCGGGGGAGGACGTCATGAAGAGTCATCGACGTTTAAAACAGCAGCTTGTAACCCCCCTGCAATCAGTCCCCGGAGTGATGGAGTACGAGGCCCAGACCGTGTGGGACAGTCACACACTGGTTGCCAGTCGGGGCCACGCAGCAGGGCAGGCAGCCACCTTCAGCATTCCCAGGACGGCTCTGCTCCTGGCCCAGAAGGAACCCATGGAAAAAAACAATGTGTCAATGGGCTGCTCACAGGAGACCCAAGACTTGCAACCACCAGTTCCAGGTGTAATCCACGCAGCTCACCAGAGTGGCTCCTAAAGGCCAGGGCGTGGGGTCAGAGGCCCAAACCATCCACTGTGCTCTGGAGGCAGGCCCCGCCCAGCACCTTGACACCGACACACCCAGGTCCTGCACAGCAGCACCCCCATTGCTCTGGTTGGAGCCCCACAAATGGCCCTTCCCATGGAGATCTGGTTCCCATGGAGATGGGGAGGGGCGGCAAAGCAGAAATCAATGGGCAGCAAGAGTAACGTCTGTGCATCTGACAAGCACACGCCCAACCACCAGTGAACCCCCTGTGGCCTGGCTAACACGCTTCCTCAGAGTTTGGTTCGGATGACTAGATTTCCGGGACCTGGAAACACAGCACAAAGAGTGAGCTTCCAGAACCGCAAGACACAAGAACCCCCCGACCCACAGTAGCACGGGTCCTAGGGTGGGGAAAATACAGTGTCTGGGGTGACGGAGACACTGCTTCCCCCTCGGGAGAGCTCCTGGACCTCAGTTTGCAAGTCTGCCCCCTGGTAGGGCCGCCCCGCCCCATCACCGCAGGGCTGCGCAGACTGTGGAGCGCGAACATGCAACAAAACGTCTGCCTGTTACTATGAACCACGTCAGCTGCCAGCTCATCTCCCTCAGCCACAGCTGGCTGCCAAGGCAACTCTTCCGAGGCAGCCAGCAGAACCACGGACTAATTTAACCATGGGGCTGGCAAACCCTGACCTGGGGGCCGTTACTGCTGGGGGGTCTTTGGAATGAATTGCTTTCTTTAATTACAGAAAACACAAAATCAGGAACACACACTACTTCAGTCCAAATGGGAAAATGGTTATTTTGTAGTCATCGAAACCTGTTCATTTGCTGCTTGAAACCAGTGAGTGCTTCAAACACAGTTGCCTGGGCATAAACCAAGGAAATAACAAAACCCACCACGAAGAAAAAATGTAAAGGTCACAGTTTAGTTCAAATACATTAATTACTGACGCTTTTGTGCCCTGATTAGATTCAAGGGAAAGCCCTCAGCACTTCATGAGCCTCGTCTCATTTAACCCTCTCGATGGCCTGTGAAGCGGCCGCTGTGACGCCCACGGCCGACCCAGCCAAGGCCGACCACCCCGCCCAAGAGGCCAAGGTGCCAGATACGGCCTTGCCCGTTTTCTCCTCCCATTAGTGTAGCTCGGAACGGCAAACTCGCACACGACCGTTCTCGAGGAACCCTGCCAACCGCTGAATCATTAGCTGCTTTACAGTTTGTCCATCAGCTGTGACACGCTGCACAATTCGAACACGCATGTCCCTTAACGCTAAGCCAGTGATGGTGGGACACACCAGCACAGGGGCCACAGGCCAACGGGAGGCCACTTCCCCGGGCCGAGGGGCACAAGAGATGCTCCAGAAGTAAATGGCCAGCTCAACCTGCAACGAGGCGTCCCTGGGCTGGAGGGGTCTGAAAGGCAGCAGGGTCACAGAGGTGAGCGCGAGGCTGAGAGGCGTGACTAGGTCAGCGTCCCCCAGAATTAGGGGCAAGCTGGAAACCCACTGCTGGCTCCCGTTTCGTCACCTGCCACCATCCCGGGCGTCACCTGGTGCACTGACTCCAGAACTTCACCTAAGACCCTAATTTCTACCTCCTTTGCCACCAAACCTTTCACCACAGTCCCGGTAACACTTAACCTGCCTGACTAACCAGTGGCAGTCAGCTAATCGGCAGTCACCCCTGCCGTCTCCCCAGTCCCCGATGTCAGACTGTGGGAAGGAGCCTCAGGCGAAACAACCTGCTCTGGACAGTTTTCTACTTGGCTGCTGCTGGTCTTATCTCGCTGTCTCAGCGAGGGCTAGGCAGGGAACAATGCCACCATTCAAAAGGATGTCATGCTCCTGGCAAGGGGACACCTTGAGCTTCTTTGGGAAGATGTGGGATCTTGCTGAAAGAGCCCAGCCTTAGAGGCTGAACATCCGGGTACTCCTTGTACAACTTAGCACAAAGTAAGTTACAATCTCAGAGCCTCTGTTTCCTTTATCTGCATAAAATCAGTCTCTTGCCCCTCACGGGGGGATGATATCTAAACGAGTAAGCCTGCCACTGTCCTTGCCGCTGAATCGGAGCCCTGGGCTTCTGCCCAAGTCGGTGCTTCGTGGACAGCTATCTTTTTTTAATCCCAAATAAATGTGTGTTGCCTCTCCAAAAGAAAAGAAAACAAAACCAGTCTGCCTCCCACTAGACCCGCTGTCTGTGACGAAATACGCTTAAACACTGCGTGAGCGCGGGCCTATCTCTGCACCTGAGTCCAGACCCGACCGAGTTCCTCCGAGTCGGTCCAGAGTCTCACAGCCACAGCCTCCGTCTCTGCCTCAAGTCCTCACAAGTCGTCTCCCAGCTGAGAGCCTCCCTGCCTCCCTCTCAGCACCGGTGGTCCCACACTGTCTCCAGAGTGACACCTCAGACATAACACACCTGAACTTGTCTGTCTTTCCAAGGGCCTCCCACGTCCTTCGGGAACCTGCCCAGCTCCCACACGCTCCAGGTGCCATTCCCCTTCCAAGTACCACCTCTTCTGTCCTGCCCCACCGGCTACGCATGCGGCTCCCGTGTGGGGTCGCAGTCACCCTGAGGAAGCCCAAGGGGACCACCCACCCTAGGGGAAAAGGACAAAACCTCATGAAAGGGAGTAAAGTTCCCAATGTCACTCCCCAGGCAGGACACTGTAGTCTCACAGAGAAAAAACCTCAACCCAGCCTTCCAGGTCCATGCCGAGGAAGCCGAGGTCCCCAATGCCACCACCCCGTCCGGGTGGCCACCATCTCTCACGTGCCCTTGCTTCCTCCAACAATCCTCCTGCAGCCCAGACGGTGACTGTCCCAAAGCACAAAGCTGTCGTCAGTCCTCTCCTGAACCCCTTCAGCAGCCTGCGCTGCCCTGCCAGACCCCCTCCAGGCCTCCAGACAGGTTCCTGCTTTGGTCCTGACGCCCCTCGCCTACCCCCTTCCCTGCCACGCCCCAGCTACAACCCCACTCGGGCACCCTCCTGTTTCCCCCACTCCGGTCTCCCCTCCTCCAAGCACCTCCCTCCCTCACCTCCACTGGCCGGCTCCCCTCTTCCTCCGGCTCTGTGCTGGGTCCTCACAGACTCAGGCCAACAACAGAGGCTGTGATTCCAGCAAGGGCCAAGGGCGGGGTGGGCCTCAGGAACAAAGCTGGATTTGCCTCATTTAAGAGTCTCTGTAACTCCACCCGAGAGCCTTTCTCCTTTCAGGAAGCAATTCCTCTCCGGCCACCCAGAATTAATCCACGCTCCAGCCCAGCTTCCCAGTTTCCAAAATCCGGTGTGGTTCACAGCGAGCCTCCCTAGCAAACTTCTCTTCAACCTCAAGGTTTGGGGATCAGTTCACCCGTCACCTGTCACTTCCTCCCCTCCAGAAGCCCTCCTTACAGCCCTTCCAGGAATCCACACCCTGCCCCCAGCTAAATTCAAGGTCACTACACTGTTATTATCTCCACATCAAACCATCCTTCTTTCTTCCTCACCGCCCTGCACAGGCCCTGAGAGTGGGAACTAAGCTCTCTCTAGTTCCTCTGCCAAATCCCAGAAACTATCAGGCACTCGAAAAAATGTTAGTTCCAAGAGTGAAAAAAAAAATTAAGACAAAGAGACAACCTCAAAGCATCCTTACTTGCCCTAAGTCCCTCACCTACTTAGTTCTCCTCCCTGCGCCCCATCAGCTCTGACTCCAGGGCCACTGGAGTCTCACCAAAGAGCATTAAAAGTTAATCACTGTCCCGGTTCTGGCCTCAATGCAGCAGAAAACGCAAATGCAAATGCGGGCGCTCAGATCACCGCCCTGCTCGGTTACAGAGGGTCATCGGGTGACCTGGTGATTGCCTCTCCTTTTACTCGTGCTGTCTGTCATCCAGGATCCACACAGCCCCGGAATACATTCATAGACGCCTCACGGGTCCAGGGACCTCAGGTGTTAGAAACCCGCCTGGAGACCCGCGTGGAGAGGGAGCCAAACGGGGACCGAACTTGGGAAGGGGGTAGAGAGGGGCAGGGAAGAAGCCGAGGGTGGGGAGGGGGTCCAGGGACCTAAGGAGCTAGGGAGAGATGGCACCAAGGGCCTGAGCAGTACAGGGGGATTCTGAGGCCTGGGGGTGGGGACATCTTGGACGGTCTCGGGGACCCTGAGCGAATCTTTTGGGGGTTTCTGGAACCGAGGGTTCTGAGAGTCTCGGGGCCCTGTAGCGGTGGGAGGTCGTCTGGGGACCTCGACGTCTGGGGAAAATCCTGAAGGGTTTTGGAGTTCGAAGAGTGCTCAGAGTGGCAGGGGCCAAAGGTAGCTGGGGACCCGGACAGGGCCAGGGGGCCGGGGCGGACCCGGAGGGGTTCTCGGGGAATGGGGGAATGCTGTTCTCGAGGGAAAGGGGAGCTGTTGGGAACCGAAGTCTGCTGCCGAGGTCGTTGGGATGGCCCGAAATCCCGAGAGTGTCAGGGGCCCGGAAGCCCCGAAGGGGCCGGAGCGGACCCAGAAGTTCTCGGGGTCCTGACTGGCCTCTCCGACCCGCCTCTCACCTGCGGCACCGCCCAGACGCTGGTCGGAGCTGAGGCTCCCGCCACCTCCTCCAGCTCAGCAGTCCTGGTCTCCCCGGGCTCCGGCGGCCGCACGCCGCTGGCGCTGGGAGGGGTCAGGCGGGAGCGGTCTGCCCGGAGGGGCTGCGCGCGCACCCGTGCGGGAGGTGGCGGGGACGCCCGGCGCCCTCAGCCGCGACTCCCACGCCGCCGGCCGCGGCGCCGCCGCAATACCTTCCCCCGCGCGCACGCCCTCGCGGCGCCAAGGTTCCGCCCCGAAAGCAACCGCCCTGCGGGGGGCGGGGCCAGGACTCGCGGTCCGCCCCAGCCGCCGGCCCCGCCCCCACCGAGGCCCCGCCCCCTCGGAATCTGGGGTGCAGGTGGGTTGTGCTCGCAAAGAGACCACCCGCTTCCAAACCTTTGTCTGAGCCCCAGTCTGTCCCCTGCTCTCCGCGCGTTTCGGGTTTCTCATCTGCAAAGCGGGGTCGGCGCACTTTGCTGGCACGTGGCGAGTATTCGGTGCGATCCAGAGCGCCCCTCTGCAGCACCCCTGCGCATCGCTGGAGCACCTGAGCCTCCGCCGCCGGTTCCCACGCGTCCTGCTTCCCAAACATCCCCGCCCACTAAGACCGCCAGTCCCCTCCCCAAGCCCCGCGTTCTTTTCTTTCAGAATCCTTACCACTCTCTGAATGACGTTCACTTATTTTCTCTCTCCCTTGAGAAAGCCGAGTGTGTGTGTCAAGTACACCCCTAGTCCCCACAAGTAAGAACGGGGCAGGACACACAGCCGGTGCCCGGACGTCTGCTTATGAATGCGTGCGCGTCCTCCTGCTGTGCTTCCCTCATCAAGAAATAATCCTCCTAGGAGGCTGATAATGGGGGTCAGCTTGGGTTCGTCCGTCAGGCCCTGTGACCTGTCGGCTATCGGTGCCTAGGTTCCGTGTCTGTACACTGCGGGTGGATGCTAGGTCGGCTCCTGGGGTGGCTGAGAGGACTAAATGAGATGGGCTTGGCCCCAGGGCACGCAGCTGGGTTAGTGTGCCCTGGTGGCCCTGTTATTCTGGTGGCCTCCCCCTTCCCTACTCTGCCGCTAGAAGTCTTTCCTGCCCTGAACAAGCCTTCCTGTTCAGGATCTAAAAAAGCCACTTCCTCTGCCCGCCCTCCAGCCCACATGGAAGCCTCCCGTTTGTGGGGGATGCCGTCTTTGCTGGTGGGTTCCAGCAGCCTGTAGACTTTGGGGGCCTGGAGCCCAGAACTCTGTGAGGGCCAGTGAGTCAGGTGTGAACAGGGCCAATATGGGCTTCGTATGTGGTGCCAGGCTCTTGCTTGAGCACTCGGCACGTGTTCCAGCATTTAGTCCTCAGAACAACCAAATGAGGAAGGTGCTGTCATTATTCCAATTTGACAGGAGGCCGCTGAGGCCCTGCAAGGTTGCCCAGGCTGCTCCATGCCCCAGGCCACACATCTCCCCACCGGGGAGACAGCTCCCCACCCCTGGCTGCAGGACTGAGATGCAGTGGGGTTCAGTTTGTGCTCACCTGCTCCTGTGCTCAGGGGTGGGCACCCAAACCCGCAGGAGGCCTGGTCCCAGCACCAGCCTTGATAACCACAGCCCTGGGGGTAGGTGCCATCAGAGGCAGACCCAAGGTGCCACGGGGCCCCGGGCGGGGCTCCCAGGGTGCTGGGCACTGGAGGAGCCACCAGGGCAGCCCCAGCACAGGCAGGGAGTCCTCAGCCCATCCACCCAAAAACTCAGCCCAGCACCGTTAGGAGGACAAGGCCAGCAGGAGGGACACCTTGGGAGCAACGGCCCCCTCTCCTCCGTCTCTGAGCAAGATGCAGCGTCTCGCAGGTTGTGGAAAATTACTGAGAGGCACTGCCACCTGGCTGCCCTGAGCGTTCTCAGAGTAGATAAGGGGCTGGCGTGGCAGGTGGCGAGGGGCCAGCATGGTGCTGGTGTGCAGGTGTGTGTCTCACGTTGCTGAAGGTCGCAGGTGCAGGGGACCCTGTCTGCCTCCACCAGCTGGTGTGAGCACATCTTTGTCAGTGTGTGCTGAACAAAGGAGTAACTATGTGTGTGCCCGAAATGGCCAGGCTGCCCAGTGAGACGCTGGTGTGTGTGGAAGAACATGCTTGTGTGTGTGTGTGTGTGTGTGTGTATTCACCCCTCTTTATTGAGCACCTACTATGCACCAGGTGCTATGCTAAACTCTTTGTATACACATCTTCCTTTCTCCTCACAGTTACCTTCTGCACTAGGTACTAATAGTCCCCATTTAACAGACTGAAAACAGAAAGGATTTACGGTAACGAGGCTGAGCTGGAAGGTGGGCCAACTGCTTGGAACTGCTGGCAGGGACTGTGTGGCTACAGAAGGGGATTCACTTCGTGAGAAAAGAGAGAAGGGACAGAGTCACAGGCAGGGCCCTAGGAGGGACGCTCTGAAGAGTGAGCAGAGAGACACCAGGGACCCAAGGACAACCCTTCCATCCTGGACAGGGCCCGCAGCTTTGCTGGGTGGAGAGATCCACATCGTGATACACGGATGCCCTGCCCTGCGGTGAGGGCCAGTGGTCTGCATGCGGGAGAGCCCTGGACCTTGTCCTCCACACATAACACACCCTCCCGCTGTGTACATGTCCCCTCCTTGCACATACGTGCTGTGGACACTCTCGTACAAAAGGAGTCAATTAAGCCTTTTGGACACACATGTACATGCATGTGCACACACACGCACACATACACACACACTCCATATTTATTTCCCACAGAAAGTCCAGTGTGGCCCAGCACGGGGCAGGCTGGCCAAAAAATGGATGCGGGCACCGGGCAGTGCATGGGGTGTGCGGACCTGCCAGACGGCTTTGCTGGCAGAGGGAGGAGGGCAGCCTGGCCAGAACAGCTCAGAAAAGTCTCTCTGGCCCTCCTTCTCTGACAATGGGTGGGCCCGCGCCCCAGCCCCACCCATCCCACCCATGCTCCAGCTCAGGCCTCCTCCCTACTGGCCTGGCAACAGGGTGCTCTGAGGTCCCACTCACCAGTCCGTGTCCGTTCCCCCCACAGCACCCCAGCCGTGCTCCGGCCAGGCGCCAGGCAGTAGCTTGCCCTGTGCTGGCAGCGGAGGCCGCAGTGGGAACTCGAACCCCTGCCCCCACGGAGCCCGCCGTGTAGACGGGGAATCCACAGGAAACACGCGTCGGGGCGTGGTGAGACTGTAGAGAAGAGAGCTGGGGAGGGACAGACACCTGTGAAAGTCGGAGGGCAAGACACCGCCTGGGTGAGATTTGCAAAACCTGTATCTGACTAGGAACCGAATCTAGAATACAGCAAGAAGTCATTAACTCAGTAATAAGACAAACAACCCAATTTTCGAAAACTGGCCAAAAGATTTGAACACATATTCATCAAAGGAGACACACGGATGGCAAACAAGGACCTGTGAAGGGGCTCGACATTAGGGTTCTTTGGGGAAGTGTGAATCAAAACCTCAGTGAGGGGCGAGACACCACGACAGACCACCAGGGTGGCCACAATTAAAGAGCCTGGCCATCCCAGCGCGGTCCTGGATGGGGACGAGCTGACTGCTCCCACGCTGCTGGTGGGGATGTGGAGTGGGCCGACCCCACCCACCACAAGGAAGGGCTTAACTAGAAAACGGGTAACACGCAGTGCTGGCGAGGACGCAGAAAAAGTGGACTGCCTGTGGGAACGTACAACTTCCAGCAGGACAAACGGCCTGGCAGTCTCTTTTCAAAGTAAATGAGCTTACCGGGCAAGCCAGCAATAGCATTCTTGGATAATTATCGCAGAAAAAGGAAAACTACGTTCATGTAAAAACCTTACACCACTGTCCAGAGAAACTATACTCATAATAGCCCCAAACAGAAGACAACCTCATTGTCCCTCCGCAGGCGAACAGGTGAACAAACCAGGGCATTCACATCACCGGCTCCTACGCAGCAAGGAAAGGGAAAGGGCTGCTGATATTTGCAACAACTCCAGCGGACCTCGCGGAAATTATGCAAAGGTTACAAACCCGGATATTTTCATTCCTGTAACATTTTGAGATAACGAAATTGTACAGATGGGGAGGAAATCTGTGATTGTAGGGGGTGGGGAGAGTTAGGGGTTGGGGGAGGGCAGTGTGTGGCTATAAAGGGACAGTGGGGACAAGCCTTGTGATGATGGACCAGTTCTGTGTCTTGATGGTGGTGGTGGGGACACAAATCTAGACGCACAGCCCGAACCACGGGGAAACAGGAGCAAGCTCCAAGGACGGTGCCGGCCTGGGCCTCCCGGTTCTGATATAATTCAGCCACAGTCCTAGATGTTAGCATTGAGGGGCGGGGTGAGGACTACCCGACTCTCCCTGTACATCTTCTGCAAATTCCTGCAGATCTATCATTATTTCAAAATAAAGCGTTTTTTTTTTTAATGGTACAAGTACTTTGGGAAACAATTCGGCAGTTTCTTTCAGAATGAGTCATGCATCTACCATACAATGCGGTCATCCCACACCCAGGAATTCACCCACCAGAAGTGAAAGCCGTGCCCGTACAGGGACGTGTGTTCACAGCGCTCGGTCTGTGGTGATAGCTGCACCCTGGAACCGCCCCCTGCTGCACACAAAAAGTCAGGGGAACCCAGAGAGGTTATTTCCTTGCCCAGACTCACACAGCAGGTCACAGGGATCAGCTGACGACCCCTGATGGGGGTGGGAGGGAAGGAAGGCAGCATCCCTGAGGGTGGAAAGTCAGCCCGGAAGGCCCCGCCCTCTCAGCCAGTGGGAGGAGGGGTCCCTCAATCTGAGCAGGGAGATGGAGAAATGGCTTCTGTGGGTGTGTATAACTAGAAGTTTCTGTGAAGCTTGAGTCCAGCCCAGAGCTCACGAGCCAGCCCAGCATCTCCCACCCACCACCACCCACCAGCCTGGCTCATTCTGCGGGAACTGGATCAAGCTGGCTGGAAGGTAACAAAGGCTTCCGCCCCCACGGCCCAGAATTCAGTCGCCCACTGACAGATGACAGCGTACCTGTCCCTGGTGCTGCACTGAGTGGGAGCCGCTTCCGATAGGGAGCGAGAAGGAGGGAAGGGCTGATTAAGTGCAGGGCGGGCTTTACGGGACACGGAGTAGCACTGTCACCATCTCAGTGACAGCGAGGTTCTGGGACTGAGGACGAGAGCAGGTGCCTCCCGGGTTGTCCCTCATTCGGGGC